TCTTACAAGTTGAAACCACCTTTCTCATTCTCAGCTTCATTTCCTGGACACAAATGCCAGGGAGAAATGTCAGTCTTTCCAGGGGAAAAAAGAATATAAGAGAAGATTACCTGGATCGCCATGAAACTGACTAATATAAAATTCCTAACTGCATTGGGATTATATCTCTTCATGACAGCAAAATTCCAAGAAATGTTTTGGAGACACAGAACAAGTGTTTGCATTTTCCCATAGAATTATATTTGGGTCACTGCTATGAAACCATGAGCTACCTATCTTTGCTCATCATATTGAACTGCAAACTAGCTAGCTATATTTTTGCTTAGCATGCAGGGCAAATTCAGCCTTGATCCTTAGCTTCAAGGTGTTGTGTGAATCCAGAGAGTGTCACTGTAACGAACCCTGAGAATATAATAAACATTGACATTCAAGACAGCAGTTGGATATTGCTGAGCTTCTGAAATCCAACTAACTCCTCCCTCTGAGAGAAAAAAGCTGAGACAAGCATTCAGCATTTTGAAATTGTATTGATTTATGTATTGACTTTGGCCTCCGTCATTCAGTCAAAAAAAAAATAAAATACTGGGTTCAAGGTAGTGTAGAGTAATGATACAAAGAGAGAAATTGGATGTTTGAAAGCATATTTAAACATTATGAGAAACAAATTGCTAGAACACTATAGCACTACAACTTAGCAGCCAAACTTCACTGCCACTGGACTAAAACAAAACAAAACAAAATAATCTGGAGAATAAATTGATATATACAAGGTCACATAGAACATGTACAGGCAAAGCTTGGAGTCTTGAGCAGGGGTGGTATTTACTTACCTTTGCTACCGGTTCACAAATGTGAGCACACGCGCCAACTCTGCGCATGCACAGAGGGTCAAAAAGGGTATAAGATGGCATCCGGGTGGGTGGGCGGAGCCTCCTGCAGCCACCGCTACCGGTTCACCTGAACCGGATAGAACTGGCTGAATACAACCACTGGTCTTGAGTGACTAAGAATTGCTGTTATCTTCACTCAGTAGCCTTTAGCCAAGAGCCAGTTTGGTGTAGTAGTTAAGGCACCAGGCTAGAAACTGGAAGACTATGAATCCTAGCCCTGTCTTAAGCACAAAGCCAGCTGGGTGATTTGGACCAATCACTCTGTCTTAGCCCTAGGAAGGAAGCAATGGCAAACCACTTCCCCGTGACAATACCTTTGACACCAACAACATCTGCCTATGCCAGGTCTTTGGGAAGAACTCAACAGGTGGATAAAAATGCCAAATCCAGTCTAATCATCTGGCCGACTGTGCAACAAACTATAATAATAAAAATAGCCTCCAGCATGTAAAGCTGTTCTGATTACAGGAGCTTTAGAAATACATCAACAACAAAACAACATTAATATTGTATGCAACAGCTGAAAGTAGAACATAGGCTTCCAAGAAACCCATGAGGGAAATCGCCACATCTTCCCAGTTTAGGGAATTACCTCTGTGTTGTGTGCTTTCTGTTGTGAATTATTTAGCACCTGAAGTTTATTTAAAATCCAGCAGGAGAGAAGAAATGAAGATATCTTCCTAGCTAATATATTTCAAAGGCAGCATGACTAGTTAGAGACCATAATTCACTTCGGACAAAATACTCCATGTGGAACAACCTATTCTCCAAAGCACCTGAGAACAGGACAAGAAGCAATGGATGGAAACTAATCAAGAAGAGAACCAATCTAGAAATAAGGAGAAAGTTCCTGACAGAACAATTGATCAGCTTGCCCCCAAACGTGTGTGTTCCATCACTGGATGTTTTTAAAAAGAGATTGGGCAGCCATTTGTCTGAAATGGTATAGGGTTTCCTACTTGAGCAGGGTTGAATAGAAGACCTCCAAGGTTCCTCCCAACTCTGTTCTTCTGAATATCATTCTGAAATATTTTGGGTAGGTTGTTCTCCAAGAAGGAGAATAGAAACTAAGTGCAATACTTTGATTCTCACTTTTCACCCTAACACCATAAATACAGGAGGAATGACACTCCGTGTTGAGTTTTGCCCATCTTCCAACCTTTAAAATTTGTCCAAAGGAATAATAGTTTTTGAAGTGTTAAAATATGGTGTAGGTAGACTGCAAAGTGTTTGCTTCTGTTACATCCCTTATTTGCTATACGAATATTTGATTGTTTTCTAAAATCCTCTTGGCCAATTGTCTATATTCAAAATGCTTGAATTGTATATAAAGAAATAGGAAATATTCTTTTAGGTCTAAAATATGGGAAGACTCTAATAGGCAAGATTGGGGGGGGACAATATTCCATTCATTTTCAGTATTAAAATTTCATACATTTTAATCTCCATTCATTAAAAAAACATGTTATTCTAGTTACTCTCATTCATTTTCTCTCCAGTATTTTTCATTCACATTTGTCTCTTTCTGCTACCCTGCTAACTGACCCCAGAAATTTTCTGAAAGTTTCAGTGACTAAGCTTTCTGGGAAAATTAATTGGCAGATGCCAGGAGACAACTGCCAAATTTAGTTTTACGGCTGCCACGAGTAAAATAAATAAAGAAATAAATTTAATTGGTTGCACAAAAAAGCGAAAGCTTCCCCATTCCTTCATCCCACATAAATTCCAAATGGGCTTGATTCACATACAAATGATTCCACACATTCACATTCATTATTTATTATTTATGGCCATTCATGGTTGGTTTTCTACTATCAGAGCCTGTTTAATTCAATATTACAACACTGGCAGTTCAAAAATAGAGTCCCATGATTAAGAAAATTGATGCTTTATCTACTTCATCTTCATTTATAAACTGCTGATATGAGTAGGAAATTATAGGTTATTGAAGCCAAGAATTCATCATTATCCTCCAGGATTGGTCAGTCTAGTAAGAACAGAAAACAATTGGCCTACTATTATCACAAAAAAACCACCCTCTTTTACCCCTATTCTTTAGAACACATTTGGGGATAATTTAGTATGAGAGCTGCAATGGGGAAAATACTGTACACCCCATTTCATAACCAGAAAAAAAGGCAAATCAACTTTACATTTAAAAAAAACTAATAAGTTTGAAACAATACCTTTAAAATAATAATAATAGTTGTCGATAAGAAAGACAAAAAAGTCTGGATAGTGGATATAGCAGTGCCTGGAGACAGCAGACTAGAAGAGAAAGAATTGGAGAAGATAACAAAATACAATGATCTATAAATAGAAATAGAACGACTGTGGCAAAGTCAAGCAAGGGTAGTACCAATAGTAATTGGCGGCTTGGGTGCAATTCCAAAACAACTGGAGCGCCACTTGAACACCATTGGCATTGACAAATTTGTCATCAGTCAATTGCAGAAGGTGGCTTTACATGGAACAGCTTCCATCCTGTGACGATATCTGTAACACCGTCAAACATCCAGATTTGCCTATCCTAGTTTCTTGGTAAGGACTCGGTAGGTAGACAAAAATGCCAAGTCTGAACATCTGGCTGACTGTGTGATGAATAATAATAAGAAGAAGAACAAAATGGAAATTATAAGTAGAACAAAAAGGAAATTATAAAACATCAAGAGGAACAAAAGATCAGCTACTCATTGACAAAATGGTACTAAAAAACGCAAAATGAAGAAAAATGGATTTAAATATGGCATGGATCGATTATAAGAAGGCATTTGACTCACTACCCACAGCTGGATTAACACCTGTCTGGAAAACTTTGGAATCAGCAAAAATATTTGTACATTTTTTAAAGCAAATATGCAAAAAATGGTAAACAGTTCTAACAGCAAATGAGGAGAACATTGGTGAAGTCAACATCAGACAAGGAATCTTCCAGGGGGACTCACTTTCACCATTACTGTTCAATATCGCATTAATTCCACTGACAATAACCCTACAAAACACGGAACTGGGATACTAAATCTCAAGCAAACATGGCAAGATAAACCATTTACTATACATGGATGACTTTAAAATGTATGCAAAAAGCTCCTCTGAACTTAAATCAATACTCAACACAGCAACTGTTCAACAGCAACATCAAAATGAACTTTGGACTTGAAAAATGTGCTATATTATCTATGCAGCGAGAAAAAATGGGGGAAAAAATAGAAGGAATAGAACCAGGAAATGAAAGCATAGTGAAAGCATTAGCAAAGGATGACGGTTATAAATATTGGAAGCAAATAACATCTTGAATGGAAAAGTCAAAGAGTCAATGCAAAAGGGATACATCAGGAGTGCCAACAAAATATTAAAATCAAAGCTGAATGCTGGAAACATAATTAAAGCCATTAATACATGGGCAGTTCCATTGATACACTACTCAACTGGAATCATCAAATGGACTTTGGCTGAACTGGAGAACTTAGACCGGAAAGTGCACAAACTTTTGAATATGTACCATGCTTTACATCCACGGAGTGACATCGACAGGTTGTACCTGCCAAGAAAAATAGGGGCAGAGGACTATTTCAAATCCATCAAACTGTAGAAGAAAAATGAAGTTTGAATGATTATGTGAACCAAAGTACAAAAAAATTGCTACAGGATGTGAAAATGGAGAACATTATTAAAAACAACAGAAACAAAGGCAGAATATAAGGAAAAACAGCTGGATGACAGATTAAATGAATGGAAAGCCAAAACTTTACATGGACAGCACTTGAAAAACATTGAAGGAAAATGTGATAACAACTTGACATGGATATGGCTTAAGAGAGGAACTATCAAGAAAGAAACATAAGGTTTAATACTTGTTGCTCAAGAACAAGCACTACAAACTAATGCCATGAAAGCAAAGATACAAAAATCCACTAACAATCCAAACTGCCGACTTTGCAATGACAAAGTTGAGACTGTTTCACATTTAATATGTGAGTGCAGCAAAATTGCACAAACTTATTACAAAGGTAGACATGACCAAGTTGCTAAATTAATCCATTGTCATTATATAAAAATATGACTTACCTTTGGAAGTCTTTGGAACATAAAGTGGAAAAAGTTGTCGAAAATGAGAAGGTGAAGATCTTGTGGGACTTTCGAATACAGACGGATCATCATTTGGAACACAACACGCCAGATATCACAGTTGTCGAAAACTGAAGCATACAATTTATTCATATCGCAGTACCAAGAGGCACCAGAGTTGAAGAAAAAGAACTGGAAAAAAATCACGAAACCTGGCCATTGATGCGACTCGATTATGGTTGAAACAATGGGTAACAGTGATACCCATTGTCATCGGGGCACTTGGTACCATGTCCAAGAACTTACAAAATACATCAATAAATTGCAGCTTCTTGCAATTCCAGCGGAATTGCAAAAAACTGCTACTCAGAACATCGTACATTTTAAGAAAGTACTTGGTTAATACCTAGGATGCTGGGAGCAACCCATATCAACCATCAGCGCCAGTCAATAATATTTGTGATACATTTTTAAATGTTCAGTTGACTGAGTTTCATTTTTAATGAATAAAAGTTTATAATAATAATAATATAACATCTTCCTACTGCAGGTTTTTGGGAGAGACTTAATAAGTGGGGAAAAAATGCCAAATCAAGCCTAAACATCTGGCTCAGTGGTGAAATGTAAAATTTGTTACTTCTGGTTCTGTGGGCGTGGCTTGGTGGGGGAGTAATGTGACTGGGTGAGCGTGGCCAACTCTTTTTTTTTACTTTTTTAAAGCATTTTTTTTACAACCTATTTGGGCGAATAGGTTGTAAAAAATGCTTTTAAAAGGTAAAAAAAAGGCTCTGACAATCACAGCTGTGGCGCACGATTGCCAGAGTCTTTTTTTTTAACCTTTTAAAAGCAGGAAGTAACAACACCCGGGAGAGTGGGCGGAGCCTCACGCCGCCATCACTACCGGTTCTCCGAACCACCTGCCACAATCGCTACCAGATCTGATCCGATCTGAACTGGGAGCATTTCACCCCTGATCTGGCTGCCCACATAATAATAGATATAATATAGTAATATATCATATAGTATATTATATAGTAATATACAATATAATAATATACAACACAATACGAATTAAAAATCAATAAGCACGTACCTGGAACTAAAGCAAGATAAAGGACCAGTCTGGAATCTTTCAGGCTTCTTATCAAGAACAAATCTGAAGCAGGCCAAAAGAAATAGAGATGGGTTTTTGACATTTTTGTATACTTTGTTGCTTTTAGATGCATTCATTTTGTCTGATATAACTGGGGTTTATAGAGTGATGAATCCTGCTAAGAGATGTAAGGAAGCATTTAATAGCAATTCAGCTGTTTATTTTGTACAGTCAATAAAAGCATAGTGTTCTCCTAGGGCTATGCAATAATAGATGTACAGAACAGGGCATGGCTACATATATATGCCATTGACCAATGCTTCCTAACTAGAATTCCTTTGATTTTATTCCCATCCATTTATTCCCCAAAGGAAACAAGTAAACACATTGTTTCTAGTAAGTCAATTTGTTTTGCTTTTTTCTTTAATCTATGTAACTGTTAGCCATCTAAGATGCGCTAACTGCAAAAGAAATAAAAGAGAACAAGAATTCTGAGCTGGTGGTTGTGAAATTGAATGATTCATTGACAATAATGGGCATTGCCAACTGGGCATTAATACATCATAGAAATTGATAGGTGATGTACAGTTATTGGGGCAATTTAAATTGGAGTTTAAAGGAAAGTTATTTCCTCTGATATGAAGAGGAACATAGCATTTATCTCAGTAAGACTCCACACTGGTTAGCTTTGATAAGCACGAGATCAGTAAGACTCCTTAAGGCGCAGGTCTTCAAACTGGCCGCTTTAAACTTGTGGACTTCAACTCCCAGAATTCTCCAGCCAGCTGGGAGTTGAAGTCCACAAGTCTTAAAGCGGCCAATTTGAAGACCTCTGCCTAAATTTTCCACTCCAAAGCTGGAGACAGGAACCTTACCTTAGAGGGGGGGAAATTGAAACCAGGACTAGTCTGGACTGTCCCACCAAGGAATATGCACTGAGTGGACTTTAAGATTAAATTATGTGGTGTGGCTGAATAAAAAGATAGCTTGGGCTGTTAAGAGTAGGGAAACCCAAATTCATTCCCCACTAGAGCATGATCCATTCCAGTCGGGCTTCAGGCCCGTACAGCACGGAAACGGCATTGGTCGCTTTGGTTGATGATCTCTGGAGGGCTCGGACATGCTCCTCTGTCCTGGTCCTGTTAATCTCTCAGCGGCTTTTGATACCATCGACCATGGATCATGCTGCACCGGTTGGAAGAGTTGGGGGTGGGAGGCACTGTGTTGCGGTGGTTCTCTTACCGGTCGCAGTCTGTGTTGACAGGGGACAGAGGTCAACCCCGAGGCCTCATATGTGGGGTGCCGCAAGGGTCCTCTCGCCTCTCCTGTTCAACATTTATGTGAAGCCGCTGGTGAGATCATCCGTGGTTTCGGGGTGGAGTACCATCAGTACGCTGACGACACCCAGCTGTACATCTCCACCCCGGATCACCCCAACGATGCCCTTGAAGTGATATCCCGGTGCCTGGAGGCTGTACGGATCTGGATGGGGAGGAACAGGCTCAGGCTCAACCCATCCAAGACCGAGTGGCTGTGGTTTCCAACATCCAGATATAGTCAGTTGACGCCATCACTGACTATTGGGGGCGAATCATTGGCCCCCATAGAGAGGGCTCGCAACTTGGGCGTCCTCCTGAATTCACGGCTGTCTTTAGAAAGCACCTGACGGCCGTGACCAGGAGGATTTTTCATCAGGTTCGCCTGATTCGCCAGTTGCATCCCTTTCTGGATCGGACTTGTTATGCACGGTCACTCATGCCCTTGTCACCTCCCGCCTGGACTATTGCAATGCTCTCTACATGGGGCTCCCCTTGAGGAGTACCCGGAGGCTCCAACTGGCGCAGAGTGCGGCCGCGCGGGTGGTAATTGGAGTGACATGGCGTTCCAATGTAACACCCCTCCTGCACGAGCTGCATTGGCTCCCGGTGGTCTTCCAGGTGCGCTTCAAGTTCTGGTTACCACCTTTAAAGTGCTCCATGGCTTAGGACCTGGGTACTTGCGGGACCGCCTACTACCACCAATAGCCTCCCACCGGCCGGTACGCTCCCATAGAGAGGGGCTCCTCTGGGTGCCATCAGCCAAACAATGCCGACTGGTGGCCCCCAGGGGGAGAGCCTTCTCTGTGGGGGCACCTACTATCTGGAACGAGCTCCCCCCAGATACGGAGGATCCCGGATCTGCCACCTTCCGCCGCGCCTTAAAGACCTTACTATTTCACCAGGCCGGTGGCCTAATTTTCCCCTCTTTTATAAAAGATTTTTAAATTTTAAATATCTTTTAGTATCTTATATATTCAATTTAAATTGGTTTTAAAAGTTTGGGGTTTAAATTTGTCGGGCCAAAATTATTTAATTTGATTTTATTCTATTTAAATTTTGTATGTATGTGTTTTTATTGTTTGGCTGTGCACCGCCCTGAGTCCTTCGGGAGTAGGGCGGTATAGAAATCTAATAAAATAAATAAATAAATAAATAAATGGTGATCTTGGACCAATAACTCTTTGGCACTGTTAGAATGACATTCTTAACTGAGACCAGGATTAGAATTAGGGTTGGATAAACAGGTTGTCTAAGTTCTCTCACCAGTTTTTCTAGACACTGGAGGGTAGATTTTGCCATAAAGAGACCCACAGCTGTTTGGATTTAATCCAGGGGTGAAATTCACATACCTTCCTTATTGGTTCACAAATGCGCACGCACCGTCGTCCACACATGCGCAAAGCCTTCTGTGAATGCGCATAGGCTTAAAATCATTGCAAAAAAAGTGACATCATGACGTCCACGTGGGTGGGCAGAGCCTCCTGCAGCTGCTGCTCCTGGTTCGCCCAAGCCGGATAGAACTGGCTGAATTTCACCCCTGATGTAATCTCATGTTCAACTAGCTCCTCCTATGTCATGAAAACTATGTATCAAAAAGCTAATTATTGCCTTTCACTCTCATGGCATCTTAGAGAGGCTATGTGGAAAAGGGCCTCTCTTGGTTCTGCCATCTCAGTTTCTTTCATATTCTTCCCACCTTGCAGATGCATTGGTGCAAAAAAAATATGCTTTTATTTCATCCAGATCAAAGCTAAATTCAAAAGTTACATTTTGCTCATTTTCCATGCCAACAATCACACAAATGTTGAGAAGTCAGATTGTGTACCTTGTTCCGTACTTCACAGGATCAGAGCCTGTAATGAAATTTGATTACTTGGGAGAGCATAGATGCAACAAATGCAACCCATACGTTGTGGTAGCTTCATGCTCAGAGACAGCATGCCATTCAATATGGGAAATTACAGTTGCCTTCACATTCTATTTATGGGCTTCTGGGAAGCAAAATGCTGAACTATGCATACCTGAGTTTTGACCCAGATGAATTCTTCTCTTTATTTTTTTTAATTGCACGGTAAGATTTAAATCCCACCTTTCAAGGCAGATACCCTTAAAGTATCAACAATCAATAGAAGCAATCCATAAAAAGCAATGAAATACAATAAAACATGAATGGACCCCTTGAAAACACATAGCAATAGCCCCCACAAGGTTAATAACATCATAACCAGCAGATTAAGAAGTTCAGCTTTTTAAAAAAGAGGCATTAAAAGGATCTTAAATAATACCTGGACAACCACAGGAGAAGGCTTTGAAGGCAATTTCTTTTTTTGCCTGACTTCAAGCCTATAAACATTTACCAGGATAATTATCATTGATCACTGTGGGACTAACTTCTGGTTCATGCTGTCAAATCTATTTTGCTGGAGATATGAAATGGCCTAGAAAGTTGATAGGCGTGTATTTGCATACATTCAGTGGAGGGAGAAACAGTTCTCCATGGTGTCTTTTTAAAAAAGCAAAACAAAATAAAAGTGAAACAAAAGCCTAGCGGGTATAAAAATCGATAGTAACTGTCATAATATTTCCTCTCTTTTTGTTTAGGACATTCAAATTCTATGGCCACCCAAGACAATTCTGCCAGCCTAAACTGTGCAATCCAAGTCAGTGAGTGACAATCTTCCTTACCATTTTTCCCAATTCATCTATCAAATGCATTTACATTTTTTTTTCATCCAATGTTTCTCCAGCTGGCCTTCTGTAATGAATCAAGATTATATCCTGGAATGAAAATTGTGCCAACTGACATTATAAAGTTTTGAAATCAAAGTTGAACTATTAGGAATTACACATTTTACTAATTGTAAGAAGTAAGCATTGGTAACGAATATTGAATACATACAAAATATGCTTAATAGATAGGTAATGAGAAGTTTACACCTCCAATCATACGTAACAGGGCAGCCTTCCATATAATTCTCTTATATAAAGTCAAGTGCATCATACTAACAGCTATATCAGAAAGGGGTTAACTACCCCTTTCCGCTTCCAAAATACAATTGAAACTGGTACAGGTAGTCCTTGACTTATAAGCTCAGTTGAACCCAACATTTCCATTGCTAAGCAAAACAGTTGTTAAGTGAGTTTTGCCACAGTTGTTATGTGAATCACTGCAGTTATGTTACTAACATGGTTGTAAATGAATCTGGCTTCCTCATTGACTTTGCCTGTCAGGGATGCTTCAACCATCATAAATACATATCAATTGCCAAGTGTCTGAATTTTGATCCTGTGACTATAGGGAGGCTGCAATGGTCATAAGTGTGAAGAACAATCATAAGTCACTTTTCCAGTGCTGTGGTAACTTCAAAATCGTTCACAAAATTACTAGAATCACTACCTGTATTCTACTGAAAAAGGAATTCAATCAAAGACCCCATTTTAGTTTTCACAACCTTCACGGCTATGGCAGGTGTAAAACAGGCAGAAACAGGTAATGCTGGGTGTCTCTTTTATGATATCCACAAGATATCACCTCAATTGACCACCGTATTTACTTATTTAATTCTCTTTCCAGGGGCGAAAGAAAATCCCAAACTGGAAAATGAGAGCCTCTTAACCTTCTTTATAGCTGTTGGGAGGACTTAAACATAATTTTTGCCTGGGTGACTAGCTCACCAAAAATCACCCATTTGGTGAATGGAGGTGAGCTGGTTAACTAAGAGAATGGCTGATTGGACTGGTGAT